ATTAACCCTAGCGATCACGGGGTAACGAACAGCGGTATTACAGCGTCATGCTCAGGTCACCCGCAGACTCGTCTGCATGGTTACCAACAAAGTCTCTATGGAATTCAGGTGAGAAAATGTGTAGTACCATGCGGTCCCTCGTTCTCCCTAATCGGCACGCGGTTATTACGGGTAAAATAAAACGTACCTTTTGTTGCGTCTACTCTAAGCTTGACGTGATCTAGTAAAGGAATATGATGACATTGAATGTGGGTGTGTGCGCATGCGCAGAGATCTGCTGTCGGAGCTGTACCACGACATGATACCAATTAGCGGCCTGGAGCGGATCGACGCCACGCGGATGTCCGTCATGGACGAGTCCCTAGCAGCACTTGCCACTTGGCAGTATTGCCGCCAATACTCCAAATGTGTGTTCCTTGCGCCTGACACGCTGGTACGTCCCTCTCCTTCAACCTCTGTCTTTCCTCTCGCTTCCAACGCGCGCTTTTAAGGCTTGGCGCGCACGTTTTCCTCTCCCATATACGAGATGTGATCCTGGATGTCATTCCAAATACCGTATTCTCTCCATGCACACAATATACACTGTTGCGTGCGTCACATAATAATATGTAGATTACGTGGATGAAGATATGACATTCCATTCTCTCGCAGGTGCACCACAACATCGACCATTTGTTCGGCGCACCTCAACTCTCCGCTGTGGCCTACCATCGCCGGCCCAAGACGTTCCACAGCAGCGTCATGGTCGTAGAACCGACGGCCGCTCATAACACCTTCAGAAAGTTACAGAAATTGGCCCGAAATTGCGTGGATTCGTTCGACTTTAGCAGTAAGTGACTAATTCTACGTTGAAAGAGCGATAGTGTTTCGTCTACCGGCAATAAGTTATGACATATTAACTACATGAAGTGACAACGAGAACCAATATGCCCGATGTTTGCTATAGCCTACCGTCATTATGTTAAGTCACTCTTTAGCTAGATGAAAGAGTAACCTTGTGCTATCCACATTTACATGCTGAACGCATTCACTGCACTGCACACGCACACACTACTAACACGGCGGTATTTAGGTAGAGTTGTTTTTGTTAGGATCTGATATTTCTGGGTGTTAAGACGTGTCGCGTCGTGTTCAGGTTGTGCCGACCAAATCCTCAATCGTCACTTTAAGAGATGGCACAAGCTGCCACAGACCTACTGCTCCGAGGTCAGCAGTTCGTTTGCCTACGTTCCTCCAGGAGGAGAGTAAGTCCGTTTCTGTCGTTTTTCACGAGCATGTTAATGGCTTTTAATACTATGACATTGATATTTAGAATTAGTGGGGTACCTGGCGTTGCCCGGGTTCGTTTCTACGCGTCTAACGGTATGTTCGGGTATTTTGGCGTACGTAACTTTTCGTTTTCTGATAAACAACCGAAGCATGTCGCATATGAAGATTTGGCGTTGTGTATTGTACTTGTGGTTTTAAATCGGTAAGAAATTTCCTAGCCAATGGCGCGCGCATATGGACCTAAACATCTGTGACTTGGATTGTTATAGGATTGCATGATTAACTTAAATATCTGCATGAATTTCAGCGCTAACACACTTTCACCAGAGATACGGGTCTCGTGGTTTTCTGGAAACACCTGGAAGCCGTGGATGCTAGCAGTTTGTGAAAAGAAAAGGAAGGTCAGTGTATATAGTCGTTACTGACCACTTTACAAGGCAAAAATATTAGGTTTGATTAAAACACGTGACATGATATAACGCGAGAATTTATCGTCGTCATCGTAGTTGTTTTCATCTCCGTCCTCATCATCGTCACTACCACAACTATGGCTATAACCGCGACTGAGACCGCGAACAGATATTAACCCCGTTACGTAATGAAATACTTTCGCAGGTTTTGTGCATGGGAGGTGGACAGGTTATCCCGCATCTTGAAAAGTGGGTTGCTATTTATGACA